TAGAGGTACAAATTCTTAAAAATATCCATGTTATTTCGGCGCGCCAACCAAGAACTCCCGATGAGTCGTACATTTATTTCGCGAAAAGGCAGGTTCAGGCCTTTTCTTAGTTTCTTCAAGACGCTGGACACAGCAGTCCGCGGCAGAAGTGTTTTTTTTTATCGCATAAAATCATAGACTGAGCCGCGATCCCGTACACATAGCGAATTCTCCCGATGGAAAACGCAGTCAGTACAGACTTCTTCCGTGGTTTGGTATCACCAGCCCAGATCATTATTTTTAAACAAAAGTGGTGATACAGAAGAACAAAAACAACAATTTTTAAGGACATTGGGGAACACAATAGTATAATCATCATTCCTTCAACCATGAAGCATACTGCTAACGGTTCTCTTTTCTGTGCATGCCTGCACGTGCTGTCGGAACAGGGCGTTCGCGCAAGGCGTTTAAGATCGCGGAGGCACGTTCACTCTTTCATTATTCTGATTGGCTATCTTTCAGCCAATGAAGTTTAAGCCGCACCACAAAGCCCCTTTGGTTAACATGACTCACACACTAAACAGGTCCCTCGTGTTCAGCACACCTCCTGCTTACGGACAGCCTTCTGTTTGTCTATACAACATTCCGCCTACAAACTGCCTTCCGTTTTGAATACATAACACTCTTCGTACTAGACACAAACAGCAGATTTGCCGACAGATAGTACTACTCAGCGCGATTGAGTAATTAGAGTATCAGAAGAGGTTTCCGTTAAGACATGTGGTTGACATTAGGCAAAGACAGCGACACTGCCCCAAAAATTCATTCAAGACGACATATGTAAATCCTTCTTTAATAAAAAGAAAAATTACAACATAGTTAGCTGTTGGAAAAACTAACAAATGAATCACATATATTACTTTGGAGGGGCATCACCACCACCGAAGCTTGCAGACCATCCGTTAAGAGGCCAACTGATAAACCGTTTCGAAGCCAAATATGCCTTAATTTTAGACAGTGCCTACAAGATAGAATAAAGACAATGATCCCAATATCGCGGAAAATGGAAATAAAAAGACATGGTTAAAAGACTCACCTCAAAACGTTCGACATACTGCTTGAGATTAGGGTGCTTCTTAAAGGTAGACGGCTCGAAAATTTGAAAAACGCAGAGGTTCTCGTAGAGTAAAAAGTCCACGTACGTGATCTGCAGAAAAGATAATCACATTTGTCAGGTCCAATGGCAGAAGAAAACGAGAAAACTGCAGGATAAAATCATTCAGGAAATACATCAACAAGAGAAAACTTACGCTGTGACCCATTAGCCACTTCTTATTGCCAAGATAATTTGCAATATCCTCAATTCCCTTTTCATATTTAGGCATAAACTCTGGTCGTTCTTTTTCCTAAATCAATCTAATTTACTAGACTCTGGAAACATACGTAGTTAGGGCTGTAAGCAATGCATCCAAATGCAGTTCGCAGGTCTTTGATCGCGGCCTCAGCCATGGCGATTTCAGCTTGCTCCTTTGCACCCTTGCCTCCAAGACCATGTTTCTCACCCAGGTAACGCAGAATTACGCTTGACTGTGCGAGCTTTACGTCTCCGTCGATGATATACGGAAGCTGATGTGGTATGCCCATCAGAAATTCAATTTACGTTAGGAAAGCCAATGCCAAGATTGTATTTCAATTTTTTCCATTCTTCCATATCACCTTTTTGGAATCTCTTTTCTTGATAATCTTCTCCAACATACTCAAGCAGGAGACGGATTGGCTGTCCCAACTGCGAAAAACAAAGAAAATAATGCGTACGCAGGTTAAAGGCTGCCAAAATGCAATATGATAGTAAAAGCGGTAGATGACGCGACAGTTTTGCACAAGAGAAGGTAAAAAGTAAACCCAAACGCACCCCACGAAGAGCCCAGTAGCCAAATTGAAGC